AATCAACCCATCAATGTAGTCCTGATTCATGCCTTCAAAGAACTAGTAAGTTCAAAAGAAAAATTTTTGAACCATCGATTTTTACTGGCAAAAAAAAGAAAAGCACGGGAAACCATCTCGGCGAAGACTTTTCACCGCTGCTGTACTAGCAATGGTGAGAAAAATACGAAAACATGGAGTGATTGGTAAGATTCTTCGAGCGCGTCCGAAGATAGAAAAAGTGTAACAAAAGAAGTGTCTAAGTACATATTTTCTGTTTTCTATTTTCTTTTCGTTTGTTTATAAACAATGTCACAAAACAATTCAGCCTGTAGGGGAGATTATCAATAACAGTTTATTCGGCTAAAATTTCGGAGTTATCGCCTTAAGCGCATCTTTACCAGCTCGGGATGACAGGGTGTGACAGGTATCACGTTCGACATTTTCGAAGGTTAGTCTTCATGGATCTATGATATCGCCATAGAAGCCAAGCTATGATCCTATTGAGTGATTCCTGTAGGTTGTAGTAGTGTTCGGATGGCTAGTTTCTCAAATGCCTTTTCTTCTTGCAGGCTCCAAAAAGGCGTTACGCTGAGACGTCCGCCGAGTAAAAACTCATTTACAACATCGGTTAATTGCTGAATAATTCTGACATCTATACGAAAAGAAATGCTCAGATTCACTGAAAGTCGATCGTGAACTATAAACAATCTGGAATTCGTGCCGCATGCGTCGAAAAGTAGATAAAATGGGTCCACACGCAGAGCAAATGCTTTTCTGTGCGTCACTTCTCACCAAACGTTGTAATTCCGTCGGTCAAGATTGCCCACTCATCCACCCTCACTGGTTGATTCTATCACAAAGGGTATACGCAAGTCCATACTCAGCGATGCGAAGGGTGGTCAAGATTTTCTCATCTTCTCTGGATTGCACAGTTCTAGGTCTATCGATTTATCACGTTTTTCTTCTCACCCGTATCTTATTTTGTGCCTCAATTCAGATACTGTTGGAGGATGCAGTAGATACCCTCCCCTTCAAAAAGCGAGAAAGTGTCGGGTGCAGACCATACACCACAAGTGACGACGGCCTCCAAGTAAATCTGGTGGTTCATAGTGATAGCTGATTTTTGGTAAATGATAGTTGTAATTAGTGACAACTGATAGAATACAACTGCAACAGGCTAATTTTCATTGGCAGAAAACATTTACATTTTGTGGAGGCCGTCGTCACTTGTGGTGTATGGTCTGCACCCGACGCTTTCTCGCTTTTTGGAACGAAAGGTAACTCATAAAAGAAACAAACAAATTTGGCCGAGGAACGCGTACAATCGAACATTTGTGAGCCTGGAGGGAGATCAGTGGAAAGAACCTACCTGAAATCAGTGGGAGGACGAAGCTGTCCTGACGGTGATGGCAAAGGCGAAGGCCATCGTTGTGGTGATGTCGTGCTCTGCGGTTGAAGCTCTAGCCGAATCGACATCGCGTGTCTTTCGAAGCATGTTTCTCTTGTCCGTGTACAGACGACTCCACACATCCTCGCGACTCTGTAAAAACAATAACTGTTGATAGAACAGCACCCAAGCCATTGGCCTACATATTTGATCACGTATTCGATTTAAATCTTTATTTAATAGCACAGAGGTTCGACGTTACGATGAATCTTGGCATCGTGTGTGGTATTCGTATCAGATTGCTTCTGAAGCCGCAAGCCAAGATGATACAAGACTTTATTTGGCTAACGTTTCGGCTTGATCGCCTTCATCTTCGTCCTTGGTATCATTTTTGGCTATGAGGGCTCAGCAAGCAATCTGATACGGGATCTTTATTTAGTTACTTTTTTTCTTACCTTATGCAATATTAATGATCCCATGAATATAAAAAGATATCTTCATGCCGAGTTTTATCTAGTTACGAATGCCTTTTTTACGTATTTATGTTTATGTTATCGTTTTAACAGGCAAATGCCAGTGGAAACCTGACTGAAAATTTCAAGCCATGGTCGGAGTTAGTTGTAATGTGTAGCTGAATGTGAATCAGGATCATATCTCTTCGTTTTTCATTACCTTAAAATTAATCTTAAATTCAGTGGCTCACCTTTTCCTCAGCACTATGACTACGCTGCGTTACAGATTTTGGCAATGGAGGCAATTTTCTTTCGATGATTGGCGTTTTTATGCTATCCGTTCGTTTCGGTATACGCGACACTCTCGCCTCAACAATCTCCGGAGGACCGGATGAGTCTTCCGTCGTTCGTGCATGGCCTTTAACAAAAGCAACTTTTCTCGAGCGAAGGTTAAAATTTGCTCTAACGATAAAGCATCAGCAGTATTTGCGAAATAATGGTCGTAACTCAAAGGCAACAGAAAGTTAGGCAGAAAGGCTGAATGTTTACTCTCACAATTCTTCCGTTCGACAGATTCCTTTTCACTGGTGGCATCAATTGTGATGGCTTACTGCAATCCTCTCGACTCTTCCTAAGCTGGCAAGCCTTCATCGACGGCGCTGGTGAGGGAGCTTTCGGTGGCGGAGGTCTCAGTTTGGGAGACGGTGACTATAAACTTCATGCTTGCAATTTGAATTCAACTTTGGAAAGTACCAGTTTCTTGAAGCAAAATAAACATACCCGTGCTACTGGCGGTTTTACTTTTGGTGGCAAAACTTTGCAATGCTCCACTTTAGGTGACACCGGTACCGTCGACGTTGGTGCCTTCTCTACAGGCAGATCAGTGACGTCTGTAATTTCAAGGAAATGACATAAACTGACAAGCATGCCGTCGCTCGGACAACCGAACGACCACCCTCTTAGATGGGGTCTTTATACGACCCTCCACCCAACCATCAGCCTCAGGGAACTCATTCGATGAAACCTCTCCTCCCCAGCCCGGTCTTTTCATTCAAAAAGGTCGTCAGGCGGGAACAGGGGGAGAGAAGAAAACTACTAGTGTCCTGATATTTTTTACGCGCTTTCTTTCTTGAAGACCTCGCCAAAATCGTAGAAAAAAACGTTAAGCACGACCATCTTTCCCGCCACCACGACCGCTTCAACATCTGAAAATATGACAGAAATATGTTTGACCCCTTTCCATAAACCTCTGAACTCCACAACCACTAATCCACTGACCCCTCGAAAACAACTCGAATATGACCCCTCGTTGAGAAATGCTTAACGCAGCGTGTAATCTGCCTGAAGTGCGTCGCGAATTCTCGCAGGCAGAATCTTCAAAATCTTCGGCAGCTGAAGTGAGACAGAAAGAGGAAGATTTGCTTTTTTTGCTTTTGATATTGAACAATGAAATGCTCGAGCGTGGATGAAAATCCGATCCACCGCGAAAGTTTTCCTGCTCAGTCTTACGGAAGTAAATGAATGGCCCTATGAAAACCCGAACATTCCCTATAGAGAATTCATATGGGAATCAAATAAGTTCCCGCCCAATTTATATCTGTCATCAACCCCCCTGCTATTGGAGTAACTCTTCATAGACAAGCTTGCCTTCAGCTAATACCGTAATTTCGCAATTTGTTCATCGTCATCTGAATATGGTCGTAAATGCTGGCAAATTTTATGAACGTCGCTCAGTCAGACGCTGTACAGATGTCTCAGCGAGAGTTGTTCAAGAGCAGTGTGACGCCGACTCAAAAAAAAATGCAAGGGACTTTACGAAAGCGATGAATCTGAACCAACGTTCCACTACATTCTGCACCGCTTAGACACTTTGCAACTATTAGCCCATTGGAATTTAAGAGATGACCAGTTAGCACAAAAAAGAACAATAAATACAGCCCAAGAACCCAGAAATGATACGTCCTCTCTGTCTTGTTGATATCGTGATTGCTGGCGACTGCATCGGTGCTGCCTCTTTCAAATGCTAACCGCTTTCTCCTGGCGTAAACGGCTCAGCAGAGGGCTCGCACGCGAGAGGGGCGGCACCACGTGATTGCGGGAAGCTCATGGTAGATCGCTGGGGCATATCCTTTTATGCGAATGGCGTATCGGTTCGCACCCTTAGAAGATCCACCTGTCTCTCCACCTGATGTGTTCATTCTTGACCTCCAACCCTTCTCGTGACATTCCTCCTTGAAAAATGTATTCCATCTGGCTGTCACTGTCTGTCAGCACCTCAGAACAAAAAACATACACTTAAGGATCTTAACCGTTCAGTGACAGATTCCTGAACAGGAGGAGGTGGTGATGGTGGTGGAGGAGGAGGTTCGACTATTGCTGGCTGGATTCCGTTCCCGCAGCCTTCATTCTCACTCTCCCGATACTCTGACGTGTTGTCCGAAGCGTAGTCGCTGCTCTCCATCTTTGACAAGTCGGTATCTGCTAATGAGAACAAAATTATTGCATTAAATTTCTTAGTATGGTGCTGTCCCGAAGCCTCATAAAGGATCTAAATGTAAAACAACAGTTTGAGGCTCCAAAATTTATTTCAAAAAGCTTCAAAACACTTAATTTCGAAAGCTTTCCAAAATACTTGCAATATTTCGGTGCTTAGCACCTTCGTCAGGCACGCGTTTCGCCTCAGTCACAGTTTCCATAACTTTACCCCAACACCGAAATTTTTCGTTTAAGCCCTGGACAATTTGATTGAGATTTGAGATAGATATTCTGAGAAGAAAGAGGAGGTGAACAATGTAAATAATGGCGAGATATTGTGCTCACCTATAGTAGTGCTGTCAGCCACCTCACTGATCACCGCTGATGGGGCGAGCTCAGGAGGGTTTGTTGGTGGAGGGCTTTCTTCAGGTTCTGCCACATGTGGTTTCTCGACTTCCTTTTCATGAACCTCCGGCTGCTTGACTTCTTTCACCGGCTCCTCTTCCACCTTTGGAACTTCACTGTGAATGGGGTTCTCGAACGATGACGGTCGCGTCGCTCTGCAATGTCAGAAAAGAACTAAGATTCGCGAAACAGAGCTCGCTCAAACGGAAACCAGCCATACCCGATTGGATTGAAGTGAATGTGTGTCAAGGTGTTGCTACGGAACAGCGGATGAATCCTTGCACCTGCTGAAAGCAAATTCCGTTGGACACAACCAACAATCGAAGGTACCCTGTCAGCTTTGAAGGCTGAGTTTGCGCCATAATCGCCGTCATCAGCTGATTTCAAGTTTAAAACTAAAGCCAGCAGGATACCTGTGCGTTGATTTCCTCCTCACAGGTCTCCTAATCGAGACACCACTCACTTGCTCGAAGCAACCCCAGGCTAAGCCTAGGCACAATCATAGTCTTAAGCGTAAGGCAATGTGTAAGCATAAATCTAAACCCAAGCCTAAACCCGAGCTTATCCTTACATTTCAACGATCGCACAGCTCTGGTGACCTGACCTCAGGTCGAGAACTGAGCGTTCAACGCAGGATACCGGGGAATCATCTCTTGTTATAACCGTTTTGTGCAATTCATATACCGACTAACAACAAACAATAACCAAGGATTATACTAATTTATGTCCATAGGTAACCACCTTTGACTTCCGAGAGTCAAATGCATGTAAATTAAATGCGGGTAAATTGTTCGAATTAAGGGTACGGTATGTGAATTCAACCATTATTTTAATTTTTTGCCAACATAGCATGGCAAATAATGTTAACTCAAAATTATCAATCATGGAAAAGCTCAAAAGGTGGAAAAAAAGCTCAATATTGGTCATCGTAACGTCACTTGATGAACTTCTGGCAGCCCTAAGGGCACATTCTTTGAGTAATTTCAATCGAAGACCCTGCCAGTTTCAATGCGAACGAGCGTAAAGCGATCACGACGGCTGGAGAGGTGTGCGGTTTCGATGACGTCACTGATCGTCATTGGTGGAAGGGCGTTGAGCGCAGAGTCAACCCTGCGTTGCGCAGTTCTCAACGGCCACGTTGCGCAGTTTCGCCCGATTAGACACGTTCTCTCGCGCGAACATTCACACTCGCATGCTCGAGCCGTCTGCGTCTCCGCCCATACAGCGTGCGTTGAGGATCTCTCAACGTGCCGTTGCGAACTGCGCAACGCAGGGTTGACTCTGTTGAGCAGCGGTTTATAACACAACCCCCCCTCCCCCAGCTTCTGAAGGGCTCAGTTCAGTAATGAGATTCTCATGACGTCATCAAAACCGCATCACGCTCAGCCACTTTGATCACTCTTGATCGCCTCTAAGTTCTTATTTGATTACCATTCATCTGAGACTTTATGTGAACAGAAAAAGAAGGTGAGATTGATCTTAATGTGACACCAGCATGCTTTGAGAAATGTTATTAAGGGAAATGTATGGCGAGAGATCATTTGTTCATTTAGCAACCTTCATGCAGAACTGTCTTTGCAGTGCACGGCCTCAGCTTTCCACCATCTGTTGAACTGTTCATGAAAGTCATTTTTTATCACCCACATGTGTCGTCACTCCATCGGTGGTGGGGTTTCCAACTTTTCGTTCGAGCTCAAACTTGACTTTGTACGGCGAAGCGTAGCTCAGCAACGTCAGCGCGTCTTCATACACCATATTATCGAAGTTGATAGTCAATGACTTTATGCGGTCACCTGTAACCATGAATAGAAAGAAGTACAATATAAGTTTGAACGAAGCCGGTGCCGCGTTATTATTTTGACGCAGTGCTTTGTTGATAAGGAGGGGTCGGTTCAAGTAGAAAACGTGAAAACCCCAAATGAAAAATATTTTAATGGCTAGCTAGTGTAAAAAGCGACACTACGCATCAACCAAGAAATACTCGCTTCAGAATTAGTTAGCTGTCCTAAACCAAACCTTCTCTTCACTGTGGCGGAGTACTAACCAGGGAAGGTCATTTAGGCCAACCTCCGGCCTTGAAATGAGGTGCACAGTTTCGTATGGCAGGATAAGACGCTGAACCAACATGGCTGAAAAGCTTTTTGAATCTCTGTATTTTACCAATGGTCGCCCGACGCTACATCTACGAAGAGTTTGCAAGCTGACCCTCTTAAACTTAAGCACTACTTGTCTGTGAAAGCCTATGGTGCCCGTAGTGCAGGTGCTATGCTTTTCCGTGGCAAGTAGGTATGATATTCGTATTCAGGGATCAAAAACCTCCCCTTCCTATAACTTCGTACTCTAGCCAAATCTGAGGCGACGACTTAATTGAGAAAAAGCGGGGCAGTGATGGGATTACCACTCCTCAAACTCCACTTTTTTGGGTTGACCAATCATGGACGACGGGGAAAGGGGAGAGAAGGTGTTGTATTAGGAAATAATGGTTTGTAGATCTTTGGATGATGCAGACGGGCAAGCCAGACACAATTTTCGTCTATTATGAAAAGTTTTAAAAAATTTATTCTACCAAGTGCCAGCCTTTTGTAATGGATTGGTGGATCGGTGAGTAAGTGACTGCCCAAATTTTCGAGGTTAGGTCAAAATTTCAGAATTCGCTAGAAGTTCGCTCAAAGGGAGAGTCTGACTCCCTGATTACGAATATCATACTTGTTCGAAGCAAAAATGCCTGGCGCCTGCGCTACAAGCGCCCAAAGTGGTGAGGAGCGGTGCCGCCCAAGTTCATTATTAATTGCCCTCAAATTCTTTTTACTGTTAACTATACGCAAGCATGTCGGACTAGCAATGTTAGGAGTCTTCCTAGCTATCTTACTGCAAACGGCAAAAGAACAAACTCGCCAGGGAGTTGATCCCCTGACCTCTTTTTCGTGAGCCTCGACCACAGCCCCTGCGCTTTTCTGCTTCATAATTCCTTTCAGAGAAGAGTTCAGCAGATAAGGAACACATATTTGAGCTCAGCGTCCCAAGGCGCGTATACACATATACATCTCATTTCAAATGGCCGGGTTGACCAAATGACCTTTCCTGGTTAGCTGATCAGATGTTTAGTAATCCTACTTTTATAGAGCGTTTCGTGCGTCGTCTGTCGTCTGTCTGTGTGTCTGTCACGAAATTCCCTAGCTCCTGGGGATCCGCCTGGAGGGACCGGGTCAAGTGTGAGATGGGTGGGCAAGGTCTCACGAAATACAAAACACACATCAGCTAAGCGGAGACCCGCCCACAGTGGCGCGTGGCGTATATCGAAGTGAGTGCTACTGACGACCACGATTTTAGTTACTATTCCAAAACAGCCTCGAAACTGGGAAAAAACGGGTAAATGTGTGCATTGGCGAAGTCAGATCGAATTAGGGAGACCCACCCCCGGTGGGGGGCGTTCTCTAAAAAAGCAGTGCTTTATGAAAAATTTCATAACTCGGTTGGGAGAAAGCCTACAGAGCAGAAAACAATTCGGTGTAAGGGAGCAATGTCTAAGGTGTTTTCCAGCATACATGACGTGGGCGGAGGCCCGCCCACAATGGGCGGGGCGCGCTCTGAAGTGTACAGCATTTTCTACAAGTCCCTCATAATTCGGGTCGGGGAAGTCTTAAAGAGCCGGAAAAAAGGTGGATAGAGGTGGGTGGAGGAGTGGAGGCCAGCTGTCATCGTGGAGCGAAGCTTGCTCGCGAGCCTAAAGATCGGTCCAGAGACAGTTCGGAGACCGAAAAAGGTGAATAAAGGCCTGCCAGGGGAAGGGATTCATTTTTTATTGGTGGGCGGGGCATGACCAAAGTAGTAGGGCAGTTCGTTGCCGGATCTAATAAAAGCGCTTCCACGAAAGCCCGCCGGCCCGCCCGCCCGCGCCTCGCTTAGAAACAGGGAAAAAGGTGGATAGAAGTAGGCGAAGTTAAAGAGTTCAATTTTTATTGGTGGGCCGGGCATGCAACAAAGTGGGCGCGGTTTGCCGCCAAGCATATAAACGCTCAGCGATAGTTCAGAGACCGAGTAAAACGCAAGCTATTAGCAAGGAAGAAAAGGGTGGGTGAGACATGCACGCGAAACATAGGAGAAGAGTTTCCGACGATATTGACAAATCGGTCTATAGGTGTCCGAACCCGTAGCCCCAAAAGCGGATAATGCTTGCAAAAAAGAGGAGGTCAAAAGTTGTTAGTTAAGGCGAGGATAAAACCCAGCTCAGAAGTCTAAATATTCGTATGTGAATCTAGCCAAACTGAGTATTTGCACTGCACCATCCCATATCGCCGCAGAACTGTGTTGCGCACGTAACACGTGCTGCACCAACTGGTTATAAAAATAATGCAATTAGTTCTATAACGTCGGGGTGGACGCCACAAATGGGTCAATGGATGCCATTGGGTACCAAATAATACTTACGATTAGTGTTTTTTTTGAATTTCTCAATTTCTGGCCCGATTGCTATGAAAAAATCAATATCTCGAAAGTTTTTATTAAAGATTCATAGCGTAAAATGTTGCTTACAAATCTCAGCTAAGATTATCACATTCTCACTTTTGCCTTATTTAGTTACTTAAGAAAATGTTGGGGTCAGCTAAACAAATTTGCTTGCGTCATCAAAATGGACCGAATGAATCAGGCAAACGAACTAGTACCTTATTTGGCAATCATGAACTAGTACTGGTTGAAATAGTCAGTGATTTCTCAAAGCGTTCTGATAGAAGGAAATGAAGACTGCAAGAGATTAATGAAACTGTGAGGTCGGCGGTACGCGACCGTCTCTGGCGCTGCACGGCCTGGCCTCTGTCTCGCCCCATGGCCATTTACGTTAGGCGCCCGTGGCCCTAGAGGCGTGCGCCACGTAGTGGCCCCGCCCCCAGCCGAGGCCAGTCGTCATGCGGTCGCCTCTGCCCGATTGAGGCGTACTTCCTCTCCGTGAGGGGGAGAGCCTCAGGCTACGGCCGGCCAGGAGGCCAAGGGCGACACCTGAAGTGCGCAGGAGCACTTAATGCTGCCGTGCGGTCGGGCGCACGGTAGTCTCCCTTGGCGGAGCATCGGTAAGTTCACACCATGCCGTCCCTATCGAGGTTCGCCTCGCTTAGGCCCGATGGTGTGATCGGCTGTAGGGCCCCTTAATAATATCTGAGGGAGGAGGCAGAGTGCAGTGTAGGATTACCGCGAAGGACCCTTCCGAGGACATGGTCAGATCCGAAGCCGGCAGAAGATGAAGAGTAGGACGAAGGAATTGTCCAGGACAAGGACCTCAATAAATGTGAGTACTACATGTGTATTATGTTTCGTGGAACTAGCGGTCAGGGAGCGCCAGGGCGAGGGGCCCGACGTGAGCGCTATACTATCCGGTGTATCTGATGCATGTATGTACGTTGTTCGCATTGCTTGTGTAGGTTACGCTCGGAGAGCGGCGTCGTATCGGGGGAAAACGGCACGGACCCCGGGATGACCTGCCGGAGCAGGCACCTCTAGTTGAGGTAAGGGGATCCGGAACCCCGATATCGTCGCCAGAAAACGGGACCTGAGGGCGGTCTCGGGGAAGATGGATATCCTTCCCCCAACGGTTCCGCGACTTCGATAGATCCGGAGGCAAGTTAGTCAGTTAGTAGAAGATTGTACCGAACATGAGCAGAAAAGATAGAGCCTCAGATAATTATGGATCAGCGGTGTAAAAGCCGTCACAAATGTGATTACACAAGAAATTTCGACACTTCTGTTTGAACTACCAAAAAAATGCTCATTTTTGATCACGGCTATAAGTCTTAAGAAAAATTCAGGTCGAGGAGTTCTAGCAATTCCACATATACAAGTCATACGGAAAACGGTATAATTGGTCCTACGCTTCATTTGTCCATGATTATTTTTTTGAGATCAGATCAGATATATTGTTTTGCCTCCAGTAGATTTCAAAAACCTACCAGTCTTTTTTGATTCTAAAAAAGTCATGGGCACAGAAGGTTTTCTGGCATATCTGGGATGAAAAAAATCAATCACTAACTGATTTTTCAGCGGATGAAAAAAAGATTTGATACTCGAGGTGGCTTGAAAAAGCCGCACAGAGTATTCTGGTAGCAGTCAGTTATGCTTGAGACGCAGTGACTCCCCGTAATGGTGTGAACAGTAAGATGATTCACGAAAGGATAAAGGATAAAGCATTTGCCGTTGATCAATCCCTTTTTGGGATGCGGCACGCATTCTACTTCCATTTGTACATTCGTAGTGGCGTTTGAATGCGATGTGGCCTATACAATGACTTGCGGGGGCCAGCCGATGTACAAGTCAGTGTTTTTATCCTCCCAGACAAGTCTGGTACCAATTAACCGACCCCGGAGGGATGGAAGGCTTGGTTGGCCCGGGCGACTCACGATCCCAGGACCGCTCCTGGTGAGCCGCATCCCACTTGTCGCTACACCACTTCCGCCTATCACGGAACAGCTCATCCAAGAATCAACTTTCGACTTTGGGCCGAGCGTTTATACCCCGTCTGTTGATAGGGGCAACCACATTTGCGAAGTGAATTTAAGAACAAATACATCAGCTTCCGCACCGTTTCAACCTTCCGCCGTCACTATCTACGAATATACTTACCAGGGAGAATATTGCCGGTTTGGTCTGCTGCACCCATTGGGACGATAGTTTTCACATAGATGCCCTCATTCATGCTGCCCTGGATGTTCATGCCGAATCCGGCAGCATTATCCGTTTTCAGCAACACACCAACATTGCCCCTTGCCTGAAAATACAATTCACAATTCCCGTAATCACGATTATTCCAGGTTACTTCTTCGCCAGAGGTATAAAAAATTAAAAATTGAAAGAAAAGCCTGCGATTTGTAATGGCAAACCTCGTTGACATTCTCTACAGAATATGCTTTCTGTGTACCCGTGTCTAATAGTTTCCTTCGAGGCAAGTTGATTGATTCGATCATGTTTGTCTGTAATATTACCGGTTAAAGCTTTATTTTTATATTTTGTTGTTTTTTTTTATTTTCATATTTAAAGAGATGAGATATAGGCCTGAATAAAGTGGCCGATAGTGATAAGGGATGGGATGGGCCAAGCTTCATAGAATGTCCATACTAATTAAATTTGTAGCGGCATCGAAAAGCACATGGTGAACGATAAATTGAGAATGAAAGTTGAGTTCTTGAAAAAAAAAGGTCAGTGGCGAAGAAAAGAAAAAGGGAAAAGGTTCAGAACGCGCAGAATGGAATCCCTTTTGCCCGTTGATTTCCGCGATGGACGAGATTCTACGACAAAACGGTGTCATCACTGTGATGTCTTGCAGTGCCTGCTATCCTCTCTCCCCGCAGCTGCAGCCCTCACCATCAACCAATCATGGGCCTAGTCTATAGCCTTGAGGTGGGTGCGGCCGAGGAGGTAGTTTTTACTACGGTTGAATTCTTGCTAGGTCGCTGTGGGCGCGCCATTATGTGCAAAAACGCCACACCTTGTTTACCAAAACCCTCCACATGCTCTGTATTAGGACATTTCCCCTTCTTCAACATTCCGTTTATGTCCACTGAATCAACTGAAATAGTTTTTCTTAAGAGATAAAGCATTTGCCGTTGATCAATCCCTTTTTGGGATGCGGCACGCATTCTACTTCCATTTGTACATTCGTAGTGGCGTTTGAATGCGATGTGGCCTATACAATGACTTGCGGGGGCCAGCCGATGTACAAGTCAGTGTTTTTATCCTCCCAGACAAGTCTGGTACCAATTAACCGACCCCGGAGGGATGGAAGGCTTGGTTGGCCCGGGCGACTCACGACCCAGGATTTGATCCCCGGACCGCTCGCGTGGTAAGCGCGCCACTTGCCACTACACCACTTCCGCCCATAGAATACTTAAAAAATACAATATAGAGTTACAGCGGACAGCTGGTCTTCAAAAGCGCTACATCCTTCGAGAGGAAAGTGGTAGCAGGTGAAGGTCTCGCCAAAAAAAAAAACACGAAACCATCGGAAACACATCAAAAATATCACATCAATCAAAACCCTAATGTATTTTGAGGCATTGTACGAAAAACACGGGGAAGCGGGCCGCTGGCTCGAGTAATGAAGGGGGCTGACATAGAATGAGATGAGAGAATAAAGAGGCTTAGCAGGAAGCCGACAACGACCACATCGTCTTAACGCTCTTGCTAATGGGCTTGTCATAAAGGTCCTGGCGATATCGCCGCACACCGTTATTTTGCAAAATCGACAAACTTCTGTCGCCGAGAATACTAGATAATTTTCCAATGTGATCTTGGAATTTGTGTTTAAGTGTTTTTGCATGCATTGAAACATCATAGCAGGGCTTAGAAATTCTTGTACCCTCTATTTTCGGAAGACAAGAAGAGCGTCGAGTGCAGACCACACACCACAAGTGACGACGGCCGAGAAAAAAGTGGCTTTTATCTTTGGCCGTCGTCACTCGTAATGTGTGGTCTGCACTCCATCCTCTTCTCGTCTTCCGAAATAGATGGTACAAAAGATGGTATCAAAATTACAAACGACTTAATTCAAGAGCGGCAGATAAGGTTATTTCACAGAAGAAGGAATGGGAAGCTCCAGGCCAATAGGTTACTATACTATTTGCGACTTCAATATCGACCTGTCTCTCACAAGGGGGGGCTTTCAGGGAAGCCGCGCTTTTTGGAAACGGTTTCTTGCATATTGTAGGGACGCATGTATGGACCACAAACCATGTTTCGTTTTCGCTGAACGGTTTTAGTAGTATCAAAAAAGTGGTGAATGATACCCTTGATGGTTCGATCCCCCGCGGCGACTAAATTTTGCAATCAAGGTTGGCGGCCACTTGTTGGCTTCAAAATGGTCCTGACGATGAATTGACATCTGATTTTGATATTTAGCGCGATTTGGCACCAAACCGTAGGCGCCAACCCAAATGCAAAATTTAGTCGCCACGGGGGATCGAACCATTAACAGTACCTTATGCTTCTTTTTTGGTACTGCTAAACCGTTCAGCGAAAATGAAACATGGTTTTGTGTTCCCTACATGCGTCCCTACAATATGCAAGAAACCGTTTTGAAAAAGCGTGGCTTGCCCTGAAAGACCTCCCTTGTCAGGTCATCATGTAGGCCCAATGCATGTTTAGATCCTTCCACAATCCATAACTAAGATCGCCTGTTGGGCATAAAGAAGATGAATGTTCTGCAACAGCCCCTCGATCACTCATTGTTCGTTTCATTGTTTACTACACAATGGTAAGGCTACTTTTTGATTACTTACTTGATTCCTGGATGGAGCTTTCGGAGGAATGTCATCGTAGGTCTTGCTTTCAATGTCGTTGAAGTCTTTTGAAGCACGGACCGCTTTCTCAGGGGTCATCTCCTTCTGATCTGAAGATATCACCGTTGAAAAAAGTGAACAAAAAAGAGAAAAAAATCTAAAGAACAAAGAAGAAGAAAAGGGAAGACTGTACAAGTTTGCAGCGTACATTTCTCAGATGCTTCAGGTGGTATTAGGTTGCCTCAGAAGTTCGTGCGTATTTTGAACTTCTTTTTGAGCCTACTCTATTTCAAGCACATGCACTATCCTATCATCAATATATGTACCACCACTATCAGTGACTTGTTGCCAACGACCAACCGAAGAGTGGCCGCTTAACTCCAGAAGGCTGGCAGTTACGAGCTGAAAAAGGCAGTGAGGTCGATTTCGAGGTGCTATGGGAATCGTATTTTTTGTGTGGAAGATGATTGCTGAGCAAAAAAAGGAGCCTCGGTATCTAAAGACGCGAC